CGGTAACTGTAACGGAATACAGTTACTCATATTTTGTATTTTAAATACGTAACGGCGGTACATGTATTCCGTTACTCCCCAACACTGACTATGAGAAGTTATCACTTAAAGTTATGTTTTAGTGTTCAGATGCAGTTCTAATGTTCAGAAATCCACACATGGAAACGGTGTCATTACATCACACCACATCATCCTGTGATCAAAACATGACCCGATGTCCACTACAAAAGAATTACGATTTTTTTTATTATTTTTTTTTTCAAAATCACAATTTTGCGGGGGAAAGCAATTGTAAGATATTATTTTCACGCAAAATGGTTAAATTATCTTTCAAAAAAATAAAGATCAAAACATATTTTGCTCAGGCTCACAGGAGGAAATATTCCCCAAGCTGTGAATGACTTGCTATGTTTCTCTTTGTCTTATTCATGTTCCTCTGTACTTGATATAAACAGCAGCAAGGACACAGGAATGCTGTTGACATCAAGAGGAAGTTGGGGGAAGGTGGAGGAGGTACCCTGTGGGATTGATTGTCCATCAGCTCCTGTAGACATTATCAATTGGCCAAAATTGGAAATCTTTTCAAGTTACTATTCTCTCATATGTGCACTTTGCAAAAATTAGGATTTTTTTATTATTTACATTTTCATTTAAGGGCAACTCTGAGCAACACAGGCTGCGTGAGTCAGACACACAGGCATCCTTGAAGGGATTTTCCAGATGGAAATGAAAACACTGCAAATAGTTCGTAGAAAGGAAATTCTCTACTGTAATAACACCATTTTATATCAGCATATGGAAGAAGCACAAAAAAAGAGAACAAGCAGCAAAAGAAAACAAATACTAAAGGAGGAAAATCCCTCAGACAGACCCAGAGACTGAGGTCACTGGCAGAGTCCTTTCAGCTAGGCAAAGAATACGCAGTTACATGAGATATGAATAACTCATACAACAGTGAAAGTAAGGATTCAGTTGTTGTTTCAGCAATCCGATTACCTATAGACTATGTTCAGGCAGTCATATGATATATTCTACCTATTGAAAGGCGTTAAATAATTGTTTGTTTGTTTTTTTGGAACAACAAAAATATACCTCAAATGAACTATGAAAATGCTTGAATAAAATATGTCGTTGTCATTTCTACAGCAGATTTAAAGCCACAGGAGTTGATCCAAAGTGCTTTTCAGGTCTCCAAAAAAAAGAAAGAAACCTGGTCTGTCCCAGAAAACATTTGGAAAAACTGTGAAGCTGTTTTGTTAACTTTAACTACCAGTGAAAAGCAAAAGTCAGCTATTTGGTGCTCATTAAAATGTGCTCAGATTTAGCATTTTACTTGGTAAAACCAGGTTTGGTAGCTAATCATAGCTTTCTATGACTGCCCATGCACATGTTAACTGGGGAGCAACATTCACAAAGTTGATTAAGCCAGCTTCTATCAGTTTGTGCTCAAACTGAAAACTGCTGAGCATGGCTTTCTTTCCGTACTGACGCACAACCCTAAATCAATGATCAGCCTTTCTTGAAGAGAAGAAACTCACAGACTGTTTTTCTTTTTGTTTTTCTGTCATTTTTAACATTTTTGAACGTGACTTCAGGAATAGGGCTCAGATCCAAGTTGCAATGGTTGCCTAGTCTTGCCTAGTATTGCTTCTTGAAACCATGCATATCTTTTCTGCCTTAACATTATTGTCGTACTGATTTCAGGTTGGTGGTGCAGTCAGAGAGGCGACAGGTTACACCGCAACTTATCGTCACACCATATCGGTGGAGGATGGCGGAAAAGAGGGTGACTGCTTACATATCAGACTTGGCTACCACCATGACATCAAAGAATTTCCCAACTGCGTGGTAGCTGATGCTGTCATCAACTTCTTCATGGCGCGGACGGTCAAAGTGCAGCAGGTTGGATTTGACCCGCGCCTCGCACGGCAGGCCCATCTAGGTGAGTTATTGTTATCAGAATCACAATACTTCAATAATCCCTAAGGAATTTGTGTTACTTGTGTAGAACTGAGATTACATTGATGAGTTTCTTCGTAATGAAAAAGAGTAAAGTGGCACAAAATCAAGGCTTGTGGAAAATGGAATACTTTCTTTTTGCAGAGTTCTTCATCGACGCTCTTGGCCACCTCCACATCGGCTCCTGTAGTGACGTCATTGTGAGTCACGCGTCAAAGATCATACTACCCTGGAGTAAAACAGACGTACAAAAAGCCTATGAAAAATTCCGGTACTCATCGTCAGCCACGAATGCTAAAACTCATAACGAAGTCTTCTACTTTAAGAACAGGTTCAAATGCATGACCAGTCAATGAAATGTGACAAATAGTTTTGCTCAGGTAAAATAAGATGAACTGTTGATTTTTGGTTTTTACTGACAAAAAAACTGGGAGGATTACCCAGTTATGATCTTTGGTATCCAAGGTTGGTGTTTGTTTTCTTTTTGTTTTTTATGTTAGTGGCTTGTAGTGTTTCTAGCAACTCTCTGGAAACTTGTAAATCACCTTTTGACTTGTTTTCAAAGCGTTTCACCCTCATCTTAAACTGAAATTCTCTCAAACTGATTTGCAAAATGTTGACACTGAAAAGGAAAATCTTCAGTTACATAATAAATAGCTTCAGCTTGTGAAGCACCGCATTTTTTTTAAAATTTATTTTATTTAAACGGGTTTTTTAAAAATGGAGTTAAGAAAAAGGTACGTTGTTGCAAGTCACAATATGGCAGCAAGTATTCTACAGCAAAACGGTTCGTTTGATAAAAATGGCTTTGTGAACTAATGCCCAGTGTCACATGATTGTTTTTGTTTAAGTTGTTTCATTTGTATGTATTTTTAGTAGGATACTGTTATGCCCCACTTAAAAACAAAGTGTTAACTGGGGTGGGGGTGGGGGGGACACAAAGTGAAAAAGAAAACAAACTACTGAAAAATAGATGTCATTAAACATGATTTATTGCACAAAACTACTAAAGTAAAGATGAACACAGGGAAGCTCTTTTCTTCATGACGAGCTGCAACACACCTCAGCTGCGGCTCATGAGGCAGACCTGGAACTCAGGAAAGGGAGGAAACCTCTCACAGAGGGAGAGCCACTAGAGGTCAGCGAGCATAACAGATACTCAGGTCAACAGTCTTTGTTTTTCCCTCTCCCCTAATGTCAGTGATTTCACAATATCCTGCTGCTGTGACTGTGTCTCTAAATTTAATCTATGAAACCTTTACTCAGGAATTTACGTAAACAGATGCTGTCTCTGTCTTTTCTTCTCAACAGTATTTCTAAAAATGCTTGTTTAATTTTTTTTTAGAGTGTATCGTTTGTTTGTTTGTTTGAAAAAAAACCCCTTAGCATCAATTTCCTGTTTATTTGTTATATTAAATTTCTTGTTATCTGGCTAAGTAATAACACAGAAAAACTGTGTAAGAGAGAGTGAGCACCCTAAACAGATTGACAGTCAATCTTTAAACAGAAAATATGACTTACATTTAGAGTTTAAATAGCAAATAGTGGCCTTGCACTTCTTTCCCAAATCCGATGGAACATTAAAGATGGTTCCTATTAATATCTACTACAACCCTCTTCCACTCTAAGGGGGGCTCTTTTTATGGTTAGTGGTTAAAGGTGTAATATGTGAATAATGAGTGTACATGTTTACCAAATTAGTACTTGTTTTTTTCCCCAACATCTGCTGTTTCTTACTAGTAGAACCAAAGTTGCTCCTCAACTACCTCACTCAATCTAGAGAGCAAGACTATCACTGGGCTGCAGAATCCTTTGCACGACTCTCATGACTTGTGAACTGAATCTGGTCAGCATTTACCTCTTTTACTAACCCCCCTTTGCTGGGAGGTAAAGTTGGCAATGTTGTTGGTTCCACACCAGAATAGGAGCACATCAACCATCAGCTAAGCACCTACGTACAAAGAAACAATCTAGCAATCGTTTTGGGGTCGTTTCGTTCTGTGATATGAGTATTTAAATACAGCTTTGTTCTATTTAAAATGATGTAATTTAAATAAAAAGCACAGATCCATTATGTGGCCATTGTTTTGTTAAAGCCTACGGGGCCTCAGGAGGAAGAGTGCGTCGTCTATCAATTAGAAGGTTGTTGGTTTCATATCTAGCTCCTCAAGTCAGCATGTCGAAGTATCTTTGAGCAAGACACCAGAACCCAAGTTGCCCCTGATGCGTTCATCGACACTCGTCATCATTAAACAAATGGGGTAAATAATGTTTGTCATAAAAAGCGTTTTGAGTGCTCAGTCAGAGTAGAAAAGAACTAAGTGGAAGTCCTTTACCCCTGTGTTTTAGGAGAGAGGGAGTTTCCTCATCTGAGTTCATCATTTTTAATAACTAACACAAATTATGAATAAATAATGTGCAACCTATTTGTATACTTCTCTTTGTGCCTCACTCATATCTCCTCCACTCTCATCACTCCTCTTTCCTGTAGATGCGAATTCAACAGAAATTCAGACATTCTTCAGTGCAGCTCTCTGAAATTCAACTCAGTTCAATTCTGACAGTTTTCGTAACAGCTGTTACACACTGTAAAACCTAATTAGTTCACAGAACTCAAAAAAACTATGCAAACTCGTTGCCTCAAAGAAATTGAGTAAAGTTTTACTTAAGATGATTAAGCTCGGGCAACTTACCCATTTTGAGTACACTGTACAGCCACATTAGTTCCCAGAACTCGAAAGAAATATGCAAACTCGTTGCCTCAAAAAACTAAGTAAAGCTTACTTAAGATGACTGTTAGGACAACTTATTCATTGCAAGTCTGCAGTATTAAAAAGAATTAACAACACTTTTTGTAATGATGTTAAAATCAACCCAACTTTTATTTTCAAACACAACAAAGTATAACAGCCAACATACTGGACACTGTTCTGCTGAACAACAAACAATTATATTGCCATCACTGTTATAATCTTACAATGAAACAAAGTCTCAGATGTAATTATTCTGAAAATAAGTTTAGGCCTACCACAAGTTTGTTTTGTACTTACATTACTTATATGATCAAAATAAAATATTTATTGTTCTGTCACAAGTGCAGTCTCTGATTTAAACAACACATTTGTTTTTCATTCCAACACAGGAGCTGGAATGTTGTTTTAAGGATGGCTTGTTTTTACTGCCTTGACTGGAAACAAGCCATCCTTAAAATATTACAACATTCCAACACATGAGCAGGAATGTTGCAATATTTTAAGGATGCTTGTTTCCAGTCCAGGCATTACTGCCTGAATGACTGTCATGGATCGAGGTGATCCAAATGTAGGTGCAGAAGAAAGTCTTTAACCTCCCTTCAGTACAGTGGCAGTGGATGTGGGTTGGAGATGCAATGAGCTTGAACCTGCAGGCGACCATCTTCACTGACCACACCATCTGTGACGGAGGACTCATCTCTCCTGTTGTCCTGCAAGCAAACAATCATATTTTTGGGAACATGAACTTAATCGCCTTCTTAAAACATTTTTTTCTGCATTTGGTATAAAACAGACTCCAATTTAGATCTCAGGCTCCCTCCCCACCGGAGAGGTGACATTCAATGTCCCACTGTCAGTCTGAATAGCCGAGACCACCACCCAACACACAATAATGTCATGAAAGCATCATTTTAAAAAGGGCTATGCAAACATGGCCAATAACTTTCATTCTAATGATGTGCAAAATGATTTGGGCACAAAACAAATATTGCTGTTAGAAAACTTGCAGACTTCACTATTTACAGTGTAGACCCTCTAAACTAAGTTTGGGGGATGTGATCTTTCAAGAAATGCAGACAAACTGTTGTTTGTTTACTTACACAGCGAGTCTTAAGATAAGATAAGACTTTATTTGTCTGTGAAGGTTCTCAGTCATCCAGGTCATCGTAGTCAAAGGAGCTTGCAAAGAAAAGCGTCTGGTAGTGGTGGGCGGATCGATCCAAATATCGATAGTATCGATCCCAAGTCGGGATCGGTATCGGATCGATACTAGCCTGGTTAGATCAATTCTTTACTTTGAGTTCTGCTTGTTTGCTATGCTGTGCTTTCGGCAAAAACGAAACAGCCAGGTCGCTGGACTCACCGCTCCTGTGTCAGCGGAAAGCAGGCACACTTTGCTCCCCCACCCCCCTCTTTATAGCAACTGTACAAATGTTATAATTCATTCATTTGGATACTAGTAAGGCTTAGAGTTCGGGACATGGTCACTAGGTAGACAGGTATGCAGGGAGCTGTGGCAGATTGCTGTTTTTTAGGCTTCACCTCAACTAATACAAGTCACTCTGCAGAACTTTCAACAATGTTTGTACCGTTTTAAGCATTTAAACTGGAATTAACTGACTGGTGGTAAAGTTAGCTGCGGTGTACAACCTGTTCAAGAAGTTCGTGGCTTTAATGTTCCACATGGTTTAATGCATTTAAATAATTTAGTTTTATGGTATGTATTAAAAAAAAAAGCATGACACCATACTGGCTTTGCATCATTTACATACAGTTTGTGGATTAAACTAGCAGTCAAGGCAATCCTTTGGTTGCAAACATTTCATTAGAGACAGTGACCTCTGGAATGGATAACTGATAACTTTTCAAAGTGAACTGTAATGGAGCTGTTTTGTTCCATCTGATGTGTACACAGCAATGTGGAGTTTAACGTTTATTTTGCCAGTTGGCTGAGGAATAATCACAGGTATAAGCCTCACAGCTATTATTTTATTTTTCAGGGTCTTTGAAAAAAAGCATCATAAGCCACTGAGGAAGTAGATAAAGTAGTTTAAGGATGTATTTTGAATTTTCATTCTTTTAAATGGTGACAATCTTTAACTAGTGTTTCCAACAAATTAGAATTTAAGTAAAAATAAATAAATAAAAATCCAACATTTACCTATTGGTAAATATTAGAGGGAAGGGCGCTAGTTAGTGAACGTGATTAGGCGGAGATCTCATCTGACATAATTAACACACAGCTGTTAATCGTGTATCTTTGGAGTAGTGGCGCTCCCTGAAGACAAGCAGTTAAAACTAGCGCCACGTCAAGCTAAATCAAATTCTGTTTGCTTGCTCTTTAACAATATTTTCGTGCCATCATTGGGCCTGATCTCTATACACATTCAATTTCACTATAAATCTGCTTGACACCGGGCAAGACAGGCGACACCTCGGGGCCTCAGGCCAGAGAGTTCACAAACTTTAAACTGCAGCAGTGACAAAGTGCACATTTTGCAAGGATAGTATGAGAAACCTGGCCTCCCTAAGGGGGCCCTACAACGGAGATGGGAGGGTCGTGTGTGAATTTTGACCAAGGGTCAGAACAGATCACCACTGATGACGATGGAGCAGTACGTGACCATTTTCTCAGGCTAGACAGCCGCAGACTGACTGCTGCTCCAACGTTTGACCACAAGGTGGAAATGAAACATCAGACAAAAATGCAATACAAGTTGCATTTTTATGAAGTGAATTCATCCATCCATCCGCTTCCGTTTGTCCTTTTCAGGGTCGCGGGGGGGGGGCGCTATGAAGTGAATTCCAGCATATTTATTTTTATTTTAATTCACGCTCTTTATCTTCAAATTATGTAAATTCCTGTTATTACCAGATACGATTCTATTATAATCCATTTTATTTCTTGTTCCTGGTTTTCTTTCTTTGCTGCCATAATGGTACTCAAAGCGTGGGGAGGAAATTACCTTATTTATTAGTTTTATAGTCAAGTCAGCTTATATAAATTATCTTCTGCACGCCTCCAGTTTTCCATGTTTGCAGATTATCTTAAAACAGGTATTCATTTAAATCCCAGTTTGATCACATCGCTGAAATTCCTGGGGGATTTTCCAGTGTTACTTTTATTTTGTTTTATTTTAGATTTATTTTTTGGAAAATCTGCGTGTGTGTGTGTGTGTGTGTGTGTGTGTGTAGGCCTGAGTGTAGAATCTGTCTTAAGTAAACATTTGGCCACAGCCTTGTGTATGGCGTTCTAATTAAAGTGGACAACTTCCTACTAATTAGTAAAACACTCCTTGAGCTTTAAAGGGAAAACCCAAAGGGCGTGGTATCCCGAGGGCCCTTTGAAATATGCACAGGAAGAAATTAATAACTTGGCTATCCAACATCAAGCAAGGAAATAATTAGGATTTTTTGTTTTTTTGTCCTGGTTTTTGACTCTCACTACATGTAGTTTTATCAGGTCAAGGTAACAGAAAGTGATAGCAGGGAGGTTTTTACCCGTCGGACAGCAGAGGGCAGCATAACAGTGTGTGAGATGCTTTCAGTTATTGTATATATAGCAGATTTCATCACATTTTTTAGAATATGTCTGCGTTTTGGAAGTAAAGACAGATACACTTCCCAGAATAAAAGTGGCATGTTTATGTATTTCCAGTGAAAACTGCATTTTGTATCATAAATAAACCAGTAATCTGCAAGATTAATAACCTGTTTTTTCTCCAATTGATTGTTTTTTGTTTTCATTTTTTTATAATACTAAAATATCATTTGTCCCTGCTGCTATGAGACTTTGTAGTATTTTTTTTTTTTATCTTTCTCACTCCAGACAGCCTGGTTTACAAAGGCTGATGAAGTACAAAGACTGTTCTTCTCCCCCCCTTCCAAATCTCAGAGAGTGGCATTCTTCACATTCCACACCGTTTTCCTTCAAAAGTATAAGTCTTCACACTTAATAACTATTGCTACTCAATACACTGATTTAGAAACCTACAGATGACGTTTTACTTCTATTTATCGCATGTTTTTATTCACTAAAATGCTCCAGGTTTTGTTTGTAAGACGTATTCATTGTCAGAACAGCCACTGGGGGGCACAGTTGCCGCAGCTCATTCCTAAAGTCTTTTATTCAGTCTTTCTGGAGTCGCAGTGCTATTTACTGTACATGCATACTGAAGCACAGATTTCAAAATGTATAAATATGCATAGTAAAAGAAAAATATATACAATGTGCATGAAATGCATTTGTATTAAAAACAACAAAAAATAAATACAACCAATGCTGATAACATGCCAAAATACATCATATACAATAATAAAAATACAAAATTATACAACAACTAAAAAAAAAACAGGCAAAAACAATTCATGTAAGTCATATATATCATTTTTTTATTGTTTTGTATTGATGGGTTTTGTGTTGTGACTAATTCCTTCTGCTTGATTTGATTTTGATTTAAGTTTGGCAGTCAGTCGGATATTTGAAAAATAAAAAACATGGTAAAACTATCATGTAAGAAGTTAACACAAATTAAGACGTCATGCTACAACAGGCTACTGCGCCTTTCAAACACTGGCAAGTACAGTCTTAGTTATTACAGCAGCTAAAATGGTCTCTGCCATTCTAGCGCTCAACACTTGGTTGAGGGGAACATAACTCATCACCTTCCTCCAGCCTCATACCCAAACTGTCGTGGTGTTCTCTGAAGGTTTTTCCTGCAACAGACAAGATAGTTAACATCATCGTTCTTATTATCAGAATTTAAAGTCTCATCTATTTATAAAATACTCTGATATTTACCTTCTGCTGTTGGATATACACCACAGCATCGTGGACGGTGACAAAGATATGTTGTGGATTCATGTATTTCATCAGCCCGCTGGACGTTAGGATCTTTAAAACACTCTCTGTGCACAGAGAACAAACGGTCAGCATGTATACTCTCTCTAGAAAATATGAAAGCTTTTACGTAAAAGTTTGCACAGAATAAAACAGAAAGAAAACAATTAGGAATAAAATATTTGGGGTACATGGGCCTCACCGTTGCAGTTAGCCAAATATACATGAACTCCAACTTTCTGGCACTCAGTACACATCTAAAGGGGAAAAAAGCAATAAATTGCACTGATTACAATCCATCAAGAAATAAGGAAAAGCCTATA